ATGAGTGCGTGTGTTAAAATTTAGCACAACATTCTTCCAGATGCACCTGCTTTAGTTTCAGCCAGACCAGCACACTCAACTCCTGCCTCCATTTTACGCATTAAGGCTCTTTTGCGATGGCGCAAAATGCAATTTATACATTTCCGTTAAGCAGGCGAAATTCCAACACTATTTTTTCGCCTCTACTTTCGCCGAGTGCCGACACGTTTTTGCTTTTAGCGGAATGCCATACGGAAGCGACAACAATGTGCTGAATGCCACACATCCAACTGCCTAGCCAAACACCTCGACTAACCCCCGAGAGCCCCAAACTCTTGTAGTTTGTCAGGGAATTTAAACTAATTAAAATGCTTTCTAAGGGCATCCGGAAATTTCATAAAATAAGCAGAGCACAGAGGCAAATCGGATTGCGTTATTTATGGGAATACAGGGCCGCGACTTTTCCTCTTTTGCATTTGCCGCTCTGGGAAATCAAGGAAAAATATTTAATTTTCCAAATCAATAAACACGCTGATTGCATTGCCTGACAATTGGCATCAGAGTAAAAGAGAGAGAGTGGGAGGCAATAAATCTGGGCATGTGTAAGCGATGCTTTGGTATTTATTTGCCGGGTATTGGCCGCCTTCCCAGTTATTGGTGGTCAAAAGGGAGCCGAACAACAAGACAAACTGTCAACTTGCATGTTTCGAAGAGTGAGTGGGTGGGTGGTGGGTGGAGGATTTTCCCCTGCCCTTGGGCGCCGAAAAATAATTGAATTCCCCAAATGCCAAAGTGGAATTTTAATTTGCGCCCGACACTTCCTAGTTGGCCTCAAGCCCTCGAAAGTTCGAAGAATTGTTGCCACTGATTGCTGATCAGTATGCAAAATGTGTGCGTGCCAAAATCAGTGCAAAAAGCGCTGCGTGGCCGGGCGCAAAAAAGGGGGTCAGACATTGTCACACGTACTTTCATCGCCCCCTCCGAATTGATGTCTTAGAAAATTAGCAAACGCCTTTCTGCCAAGTGCCGCATCTCGTGACTTGGCATTCTCAACACCTTTTTTTCCGAAGCGCTTTTCGTCTTCCTTTCCGTTTCCATTTCGCCTCTTCTCAATCACTTTTCACTCGAATCGAATCCTTTACTGCCAGCGCCTGATTGTATGCAATGCATTTTTTATTACCAAATCCGGATGAACGGCTTGCGATTTGTTTTAGGGGACAGTTAATTTCATTTTGGCAATCCGAAGTGATGGCAATTGATAAAACCTATTTCACCTCTTTGATGATAAAACGTTAAGTTTTTAGTCATAATATTTAACCATCGCATACATAAAGATTAGTTTCCCCTGGTCACTTTTATAATTATAATTATAATCCCCGTTTTCAGTAGTGTGTGTGTTAGTCAAGCCGACCACCATTTTGGTTTAAAATAAAGCTGCCCCCTTGTACATCCCTCTCTTTTCGTCGACAGTATCATGGCATTTATAAACGCATACATATGCATGAGATCATAAAGATTGCGACAGTGGCCGTGTATGTGTGAGCTTTGCGAGTGCAATGCATTTGTCATAAATGTAAAAAAAGTCAAAGAAACTCCATAATGGCAAACATGTGTGTTCGCCTCTCTTGCTCTCACTATACACCGGTCTCTCTCCCTCGCTCTCTAGCCGTCTCGCTTCCTCCCACTCAGGGAGTCTCTCGTCAACGGCATAATGAATGCATCCGGCATGCATTGAAAACTTGACTCATATTTCATACCCAAAAAAAAAAATGGAAAATAAAAGTTGTACGGGTACATTGACCATCTTGTTGGCGCTTCATTGTTGTTGTTCGCCCCGTTGTTGTCAACAAATTTGTTGCACTTTTGTGTATGTACGATTTTAAGCCAGTTTTTCACATCGTGTTTGATGATATTTCATAATCTTTTATGCCATCCACCCCACCGCCCGCGCAAATAGCAAGCATTAAATTGCATTTTGAGGCAGTTTTTTCACTTGCGTTGTGCAAATGAAATGAAATTTTTTTAATAAAACATTTTTAAGTGCAGCTCAGCCGGCTGTGACGTGCGTAGGCCACTTTAAACTTGAAACACATTATGGGATTACAAAACAGAACTGGCGGCATATTAATTTTCAATTGCAATACACAATTTGGATGGATTTCATTTTGATGGGAGATTTAATTGCAATGAACGAAATGGACAATGAAAACGGGATTACATTATTTAACCTTTAGGATAAATTTACTTTATTTTAAAGCTTATTTGGGTAATTTCAAATTTAATTGGCTTATCATTTCAAATTGTAGATGATTTTATTAAGCAAGATCTTTCTACACCTTGAGGAAATCTTTTTAATAGGCAAAAAATGTAGTCTTTAGCATAGTTCAACCGCATTAGCCACCAGGTTAGGAAAATATTTTAGCCTTCTGCTGCTCGACGGGCTGACAAACTGGCTGACATCAACCACACTCTTCACGCAATTGTCGGATGCTGACAAAAGGCACGTCAGCCGCCTGCCTGCATTGCAGCCAAGTTGGAATGTCAGAACAGTAAACGGAAAATGTCTGCTAGACAAAGACGACTCAGCACCAGAGCCCCTCAACTTTTCCCACTCATCCTTCTCGTCCTGCCAGAACCCTAATTCCTGCTTCTTTCCACCTGCTGTCTTACCGAAAAAGCAAAAACAAAACAAACAAAAAATGCAAAGTGCAAGTTCATGTGATATGCAAAGTGGAGTGTATGAGGGAGTTTCTGAGCGGGCTTTTATGCATGTGAGGGCCACGCGAAAAAACTGAAACTTACTTTTCATAAGTCGGTTTCTAAAATTTAATTTTACTTCATTTTGCAGGTTTTAAATTTTTTTTTAAAGGAACAGTGAATCGCTTAGAATGCTTCTATGCAAAGCTGTAACATCTGATCTAACAAGAAATTAAATTAGTTGTTTTTTGGTATTTCCGTGACCCTTAAAATGTTTCATTTTTTTTAATATAATAAATTTGCCTACAAACTACACTTTCTAGTCGGTTTTCTCCTTAAGTGTATAACTAAGTAAAGTCGAGATGCTAAACAGAAGCCCTGGTAGCGGGAGACTGATACGGCTCAGGCACACCAGGGCGTATGTGCGATGTGGGGTATATGATCATTATGAGACGATAATGATGATGCCGTTGAAGAATGCTAACTGACTTTTGTGCATTCTGGAAAATTGAAAACCCATCTCTAGCCCCGTGGCTGGCATATCTGCTGCTGCTACCACCTTCCATTGTGATTGAAGCTGTCCGCAGAGAACAAACTTTTTCCAGGCAGACCTATACTGAAGGATATAGCCAATTTTCGCCCTTTGTTCTGAAGGAGAATGCAAGGCAGGGCTCTCAACATGTTGCATGTTTTTCGCATGCGCCAGGCCGAAGTTGTACGGAATAGTTTCCCTTTTTTGGGGCTCGGGGGGTCGTCGAGCTTTACACTTAATCCCCACATGCGATGCAGTGCATTGTTTATTGTTTGGCCCCCAATAGGATGGTCAGGATGAGCACTTTCCCTTCAACATCGTTTCGTTGTGTGCGTTTAGCATAAATTAGAAAGTATCGATCGATCTGTGGCGAAATTGAAAAGGCAACTTTTCCCGCAACCGAAAAAAGTTTCAAATCAATAACGACTAGAGAATGTTATTCGGCTAAGCTGCCAACCAACAGAAATTGTAATTTCGATGAGTACTGGGGGAATTGCAGAAGCGAAAGGAAATGAGAGGAAAATAAATAAAACTTGCGCCCCACCACGCATTCGGTAATTGCAAGAAAATCTCATTTAATCCCAACAAATGCGACTTCATCACGCAAAAAATTATGAAATATTCTCCGTCTCTAGGCAGCAATTGCTTTCCTTCCCTATATATACATCTATCTTTATTTATTTATCCTTTCCCGTTGTTGTTGGCCTTAAGTTGCCTTTTTGTTTTGCTTGTTTACACATTGTGTCGCTCGCGCCTTTTGGCCAGACAAAAAAAATGAATATAGCCAGCAAAAATGGCAGCCAGAAGCATTGGTTGGATATTTAGTATCGTAGTTTCTTTTGCAACATCATCATTTCGGTCTTGTTGCGGTTGGATGGTGGTATTCGAGAGGAAAAGAAAGGCTCAATGAGTTGAATCCGTTGAGTACTAAAAAGGGGGTGGATCAAAGACTTGGTCGCTTGGTAACAATTCCTTTTTTATGATTACTCGCAAGGAGATTAAATTTCAGTCAGATATTTTCCTATATTCAAACATTCAGTTGTTATGCACTTTGAAATAAAAAACAGCTATTTATATATATTTTTAAAAATAAATTGGTTTGGTAGCCGTAACAAAATATTGTTCTTTTCCTTGAAATTTTTGTTGGGCAATCATCGAATAAAGCTATGTAAGCGGATTTAGTTACGATGCCATAAATTAAGCTAAATAAACCGAATGCTCTAAAACGGTTGACAAATTTAAAAATCTTTTTAGGTATACTAATATTTGTTTTTACTTTAAAGGCTACCCTCGAATAATTTAACTGCTTTCTGTGCTCTTCTGGCCATCGTTTCATGCAGATGAATGCGCGTGTTTATGAAAAATGTTGTTGTCATCGCTGCTCTGTTGTTTTTATTGCCATTTGCTGAATGTGCCCTCGCCTGCGCTTCGGCTGATGAGAAATAATGTTTGCGGAAAAATAAGATTTGTTTATTTTACGAACGATTGATTTCGTCTTCCGATGTCCTTGCCGCTCCATTTAGCCAGCTTTGCCCGCCCAACGCTTTTTTGCGCCCATCTCGGCCACTTGTCCTCGCTTCATTTTGCGCGGCTTAAAAATTAATTATCACCAAAGTCGAGGACTCATCTAGGACTTTTGTCTGTCAGACGGAAGGACGGCCATCAGTGTCATTTATATTTGGAGGCTTTGCCGAACTTTTTGAAATATCTCATCAAAGTTTTTGTCGTCTTTCGACTTTGAGTCACTTGACTTAGCTGTGATTTGGACTCGCTCATTTTATAATTCACTTACCCGGCACCAGAATAAGAAGCAGCATCAGGGACATCCAGCAGATGCAGCCACGCCCACTTTGGGATCCGCACTCCTTCCCCGCTCTCCACTTTTTCGCCATTTGCATGTAACGGGCTGTCGTCCCTGGAATTGTCGTCGTCGGCATTGAAATAGATATTTTTACTATTTTTTCGGGTGGTTGTATCCTCCCGTTTTGTTATTTTTCCTCTCGAGATCTTGCTTGGCTTCCGTTTGGGCCTTATAAATATATATTGGCCAATAAATGTCAATTGAATTTGGCCTATTTTTGAGTTTTGTAGATGGTTCTCAGCTGTAATTGTAAAAAAAAATCAAGATAAAATATAAATGTTTTATCGACGAAAGGATTAAAATGGGGTAAATCGTTTTGCATAAAATAGCATATGTGCCATATGTGTTAATGGTATATATTAAAGGTCAAACGTATATTAAAACCTTTTTTTTTTTAATTTAAATTATTAATTCCATCATTGACAAGTTGGATGTGAATAATGAATTAAAAATGTTATCCATTTAGGATAATAATTCACATTAATATTAAATTACTGCAATTTGAATAACAAAACAAAAACTTTGCTAAACTTCATTGCTTTTTGATTGCCCATTAAATAATTTAGGAAAATTCTGTTTAATAATTCATTAAGTGGTGTGGCATAGACCAATTCCACTTTGTGGCATCCAGCACCATGTGCATGCCCCAACGCTCTTGGCAAATACAGTGATTAATGCAATTAACTGCAGTACTTTAATTAAAAATCGCCTCACACAGATGCAGAACAAACACACACTCTGAAATCGATTTCATTTGAACACTAATCCTTTGGATGTGTTGCAAATGAAAAAATAATAGCATTAAAAGCTGGGGCAAAAAACTTAATCTATAGGGAAAATACAAGAAAAAATTGCAAAGAAGTGAGCAAATGGGTAAATTGTAAAATAGTTTAATTGGAGAAATCTTTTTAGATGTTAGCTACGCTGTTAATTAGACAAACGTTTTTTTTAAATCGGAACAGAAACGAGCGAGACATTTTTTCCAAATAAAACTAAATGAAATTGTATATCTTTTCTGAACTTTTATTCTATTGACTAATAAATCCCTCCTTAATTTAAGGGGAATAAAATCTTCGGTTTCTTAGTACTTATTTTCTTGTCCCCTTTCCTTTCTGTAATACAATATAGATCCACTCTTCCTCTGTTTAAACGAGTATTTCCTAATTGTCCTTTCCACTTTGCCCAAAAAAAGGAACCAGAGAGAAACTTCAATCCGCAGTTTAATTATTTTTCATTTAAATAAAACTCACACACTCATGCCCACTTACATTTACATACACCCACATGTGCCCCCTTTCACTTGCTTGTTTATGTCGTAAAAACTTCCTTTCTCTTAGCTGCTTTTTTTCGGCAGCGGCTTCGCTTTTGGCCGTTTTTTCCTACCGTCTGTTGCCTTTTACACTCATTTGAAACAAAAGTGACACAAACACACTCACCAAAAAGGGAAAATCTCTTCTTGTATGAGTACTTTGCCTTTTTAATGTATTTAGTCTTTCGTTAATACCGAGAAATAGTCTCTGATATTGGGTATTTGCACTTCAAATAATATACCTTTAAAGCGACCGATTTTTTACTTTTAAGAAGGTTTTCTCTTTATCAATAATTTATTTCATCCTGTTTTTCGTTTTATAAATAGGGTTGCCAAGTTTGCCATTCAAACCGTTACCAATGCCAGAGAACTCGGAAAAAACAACTAAAGGGAGACACACTGAAAAGGAAGATTGCCCTCACACTGCATTTAAGGTAATGAGCACATACAAAATGCAATTAAAAGCTTGTTGCCAAAAATGCAATTTTGCGTATCTTTTCTTTGCTCCCTGCTGAAAAAAACACATAAAAGCATACCTACATAATTCTGTATGTATATTTTTAAGCTTGAACCTTGCCGTTTGGGCACAGCATGCAAAGCATTAATGCATTTTATGGCCCCAACCGAATGCTCTTAACGATGCTACGGTGCGAGGAGAAACTGAAAAACCCAAACGTGAAAACGGCTTAGAAAAACTTTGTTAAAAAGAAGCAATTGGTTGGGAATTAAAAATTTTTAAAAACTTCAATTATTTGCAACTATGCAAATGAGGTTAAAATTGTTTCCTAACGTAAATAGTTATGATATAATAAAGCGAGCTATCTGCAAATATTAAACCATTTCGCATTTCCGTGAGTAAGCGTTTCATCCATGGCTTAGCAAACATACAAAACGAATACGCTTCGAATGGCTTGTATTTTATTTGTAAGTCACCGGTTCTATTATTCAATGTGTAATGTATTGTAAGTGAAAAGTCTATTCTCTTCCGTTTCCATTCTATCTTTTCGGTTCTTGCATCTCATGCAGTTCATTGGCCCTGCTGATTTCCATTCTATTTCCATTTCGGTTTACTTTTTTTTTTATCCTTTTTGCCTCCTTGGTTACGGCTCACTTATTTCATTTGCCTTGATACCTTGTGGTATTCGAATTGTTTGCACAATTTATTTCAACTTCGGCTCGGCTTCGGAAGTGAAGTTGCAAACGAGACCCAGCATGACAAACATTTTTGTGCCGATTTGCTCGCCTAGTTTTGTGGGTCAAGTGGAGCGTACATGTGTGTGTTTGTGTATGCAAATGTCAACCACTCCGTGTTTGAGTGGATGAAACCACCAACTGCAATTACGAGCAGATCAAAGTGTTTCCATCAGATTACCGTTGTGGCAATATGTGCGTACCGAAAAACGTTGACTGATCATCAACGAAGTTGGTTACGTTGATTGTAGATAATTTATAACTAATACCGAATAAAAACTTTGAAAAATAAATTGTTGTGTCGTTGTAATCAGTAATAATTACCAAAATGGCTTTTAACCACATGAAATTCAAATATCTTGTTATAGCAGTCCAACAAAGTTTGCTTTAATTTTTTGGCTTAAGAGTGTTTATACAAAAATAGGTGTCACTGGATAAACGAAATGGAGTAATTTGGCTTTCAGGGACCTTAAATAAGACATAACTGAAATTAAAGTCTTTATGATGCGATGCCTTAATACCAATAGGTCAATCAAGTGGTTTATCCATTGTTCTTTTCCCCCTGCATGCCATCCTCCAAAATTCCCACGGCATAGAAATTTACCTGGATGGCTGTGCTCACGTCATCGCTGCCGTGCAGCTGCCAACCTTTCTTAGACCGCAAAAACTCATTACGGGCCCAACTTGCCAAACTCACTCCTTTGTGTGCTCCCTTACAGTGGCTGTCCCTGTCGCTCGGTGCGTTTTTGCTATTTCGCAATTAAAACTTTCATTAAAGTAATTAAAATTGCAACAAAATAAACAAAAATACAATCGAAATCTGCAAGCTCTGGCAAGGGGATTTTGGGTTTGGGTCGTTTGCTGTGGAAATGGCAGCAGCCTGCGTGGGATTTGACAGACACACAATAATGCAGTTAAAAACGCTCCATCGGGAGGGTAAATGGTGGTGGCTGGAACAAAGACAAAAGTGTGACAAATATAAACAGGGGTATAAATAAAATGGTTAAGTGCTGGCTGGCTGGCTGACTGGCTGACTGGATGGGAAGGATGGCTGGCTGACTGGCAAGGGGGAATATAATAAAATGTGGTAATTGTAAATAAGTGGAAAATGAGTGCCGGGTCTGAGGGAGCTGTGTCTATTGCATTTGGCGGGATAACATTTTAAATTCAAATTAAACGACCGGCAAAGCCACAAAAGGATTGACATGAAGTTAGTGCCACCACCCAGGAACAACAAAATGGGAAAAAGCGACAACTTGACTCAGGGCAACCACAGCTCCAGTTGGCAGCTGTCGTTGTTGCACCAGCATTTTCTCATCCATTGTTTTATTTGAGCTTGACATTTGCATGGCAAATACGGAAAATTGAAGGGAAACAGGAAAAGTTCGAGTTACAAATAAAACCTTTCCTTGATCTCGTACCATTCAATTAATTTCCAAATAATTTCAAAATAAAAATGAAGCAACGAAACTAATGGAGAAAAATAATTGCTCTCGGTTGCAAACGAGTCATCATTGTTTTGATAGTTTCTCTCCGAGGGTGCATTTTGACAAATTAGTTTTGTCTCCTGATACTTGATACTTGATGCATATAAATTGGAAAATCAGGCGATAAAATGTGACACGCTCGGCTATTAAAATGTCGAATTGAGGTCACACTTTAACATTTTAAATGTTTATGGGCCGACAAATAGGAAACATTTTGTCGCGCAGACGTATTAAAACATTTAAAAGCTAATTGACCAATTTAAACCAACCAAAAGTAAGGTTAATCAAACTATAAAAATAAATTACGAATCAATAAGCTTGTAAAAAAGTCAATTTCAATTTTTAACTTTTACTGTTGAGTTTAAAGGATTTATTTTTTAACCCTTCCTTTAATTTCGATCCATTTTTTTTTTGCTGCCATCAAAGTTTTAAATTCATATGCATATTTACATCTCCCCTCTTCAGAACGGAAATAAAAGATTTTACAAGACAGTGCGCACTCCCTTGGGATTTTCCGCACATTCTTTGGCGGGCAAACAACTTAAGGAAAACGTTTAAAGGCAACTTGACACGCCGGCAAATAAAATCTAAACTTCTTAAGGGGGAAATACAATTAGAAATTTTTTTTTTAGAAAAATTTTTTTTGGCTTAATGTACTCCAAATATATCTGGGAGTAAGCCTTTAAAAGCATAAAGCCGTCCGGTACTTATTTTCAGAGTTATACGCAATTTAGTGAGGGTGTGTCATATGGCGGACATGCACAAAAGTAAACTTTAAACGCTTCTCCTGAAAAGTCGTGTTTTCAAATTCGCCGTGCAATGTACAGGTCAGAGATTTAATTTTAATCGAATGCGGTTTTTTGCATTATGTTTGAAATTAAATTCTCCACACCATGAATATAACGGTTTTTCATATTTGTTTGTTATAACATGTTTTTTTTACAATCAAAGTCAAAAAAAAATCGTTATTTTTGATTTTTTTTTTAACCTAAAATTTTTTAATGGAAAAATTATTTTTTTTAAATATGGTTTAATTCATGGTGTGCGCTGTACCTTTAAGTTTAAAGCCCAGTTGCTGTTTTTTGTTTAAGTCGTGATCCTGGACCTGGAGACTGCACGGCGCAAAGTCCTTCCCTAAAAACACGACTCCACATTATTGATCATAAATGGGCTTAATTACAATATTTTTCAAAAAACTTGACTGATTTTTATTGCTCAATAATTACCCAATAACATGCAAAAAGAATCACTAAGATTCATTTAATACTCTACTTGCAATCCACTCCCAAAGATAGCCCTCATTTCAGGCCTTCTAATTGTATTTCCCCCTTAAAGGAAACCCTCATCAGCCATCTCCCCCTCGTCCGCTGAGGGGTCGATGAAGCCAAAAACGAATACGAAAAGCAGTAAAAAAAAAATGATAAACGCTTCAACTGATGACACATTCAGTTTCACACACGAACGACTTTCAATTTACATTTGATGTTTTATGTTTCGCAGCATTTACCAAACGAAAAACGAAGAAAAAGCGGAATGAACCGAGCGGGAGGATGGAGCGAAAAGAAAAAGAATCACTCATACGCACCCACGCACATGAGGATTGGCGCCCGACGTTTGACGCCGCATGGCAAAGCGCTTAGAAAAGAAATAGCACAAAAAATACTGCGAACCCAGTCCACGAAGAAGAACTTACCAAAAGGCAGTGGCTCGAAGGAGTGGAGTGGAGCGGAGGCGGGAGGACTCCACAGACGACAGCGGTGCCAAAAAACGACATGCGGAGAGGCAGGCACCGTTGAGTAAATAAACGAAAAATATTTTGTACTTCAAATAGAAAGCGAACAACCAAAAAAAAAAAAAAAACTCATAAGTGTTTGGGCGACTAGTCATGCCCTGCAATGCCCTATATTACCATTCAGCAAAAGAGCCAAGAATCTAACCCCCTGCACACATCATATTTGTTTCTTAATAAAATATTAGATCTGCTTCATTAATAAATATAGGGTATAACATATTGTCATTGAATTAGAAACATATAAAAAAGTAACCCGTAACAATTTTGGAACAGCCATAATTTTCAGTGGGATCAAAAAATTGTCTTTTCTTTATTTGGAAAATCAATCTGCAGAGACTGTGATTGATTGTTGACTTTGCTAAATTAGGCATTGGTTGGCTTGTTTATTGTTCATGGCTTAGAAAACTTTATATGTTTTGGCAGTTATATTTATAGAACTGTATTATTGCATCAAATGAATTTTCAGAATTTAATTTAAGCCGAATTGTTTTTCTAGATAATGAAAAGTCCACTGTACTTCTCCGAATATCCAATAAAGTACTTTATTGCCCGCAAAGTAGCATGAAAAGGAAAAACTTCTCCGAACTCGTAATAAGCAGCACTCAAGGATATTTCCTACATATTGACAAGTTCGTAGTGTAAACTTTTCAATGGTCACTTGTGAGCGCTTCCCCGAAAACCGATGCTTGACAAGTTGCCTCTTTTGAGATCGGCCACAAAGGCCCTTCAAATGGAGGCCCACAAAATAGAAGAGCCGCACTCAGCATGCGGTCAGCAAAAAACAAGAAAGTAAAACAAAAGCACCCAAAAAGCAGTTTGAGCAGAAATTGCCCATAACGAGCACTTGACCAGGGACAAAATGTGAGATGCCAAGGTTCACAGGAATTTCACAACTTCTTTTGTATACCTTTCTCGGCCTGAGTATCTGTATCCGTAGCAAATAAATTTAAAGCGCTCAAAAGGCAGAAAAAAAAAATGAAGAAACCACGATGCACTTAAAGACCCCACATTTGTCTCAATGAAGGCCGTGTCACATAAGTAACGTTAAGTTCTCTTTTTACCTAATTTATACAGTTTACGCTGGCCAGCTGTCCAAAGTCCAATGTCCAATGTCCCGAGGTCTCTGCGGTCCCCCATTTATGTGCGGATTCGGGGAGTGGAAGCCATATAATTGCGCTTATCTCTTGGCGCACACTCAAGTGGCCCGGCTCAATATGTTTTTGGAGTGAAATGAAGTGCCCATCGTGTCCACTTGGGGAAAAAAACTTTGGGGCGGAAAAAGAGGCAGTGGCACCGGAATCCCAGTAGAAATTTTTGTATTTGATTTAAAAGGAAATACCTTTTTTAGCTGAAGCCTCTCTTGTTTACCCTGCTGTTTTTCTTATTTTTTTCTCCTGCTGTTTCTTTTTCTGTGGTGACATTTTTATACGGTGTGTGTGCAAGTGCTTTGGGCTGCGAGGGGATAACTTTTTGGCATCCTACCAATAAGATTATCTTAAGTGTGGTGTTGTTTTTGGGTTCGTGGGAAGGTGGAGAACCCTCAATTGCAGTCTTGAAGCTCGCTCTTCTTTTTCTAGGGATAGAAATGAGTTTCGCAATAGTTTTTACCCGTCTGGGGGGTCTGTGGTTTTTCTTTGCTCGAGAATCGAGCATCGGGTTGTTAGGTAAATCGATGTAAATTGCTTTTTAAAGAAGTTGAATGAATAAATTATGTGCGCAAATGGGAAAACTAGCAGCACAAGATTCATTGCCCATATAAAAAGTTAAGAATTGTGGAAGAAGCGTTCTTTACCCTAATGGTTTTCGGCAGGTTTAAATAAAGGATAATTATTTGAAATTAGGTTAAGATAAGATAAACAGACGAAAGCTTTTTAAGGTCTTAAATAAATTAAATTTTAGTGAGATATTAATCCTTCGAAGCCAGATTGTCTTAAACAATTTTCAAGCTTGAACAATGGCTTTTCATGAATGATTTAATACCCCATTTAAACGGAGAGAGAATTCGTTGGAAAAGTTGAATCTGCCATCCTCGTCCAGGTTTCCCTCTTTTGCTGCTAGTGCAGCTTTTGAAAGCCTCAAGTGTGAACACACATTATAATAAACGCCTCAATTGTTGTGCAGTCATCTGTGTAATTTATGTTTAGCTAATGTTCAGGGATCGATGAGCTTGTCAGCTTTTGTGAATCAGAGCGCCCGCAGACGCACACGAGGTCCTATATCCTATATCCTGTCCCGCACACACACACACACACACACACACACACTCACATCCCCTCACATTAGCCCCCCGAAAAACCGAAGGAAGCTGGAAAATGACGTTAAGGTTGCTTCGTTGAGTCTAATAGACTTTCATGTCTGCCTCGACACCGCCTTTGCCCCAGTTTAGAGCGGGTCCTGTGAAAAATCCTTTCGGCATCCCCAACAACGAGATTTCACTGGTGTTTTTTCCTCCCCAGAGTCCTCGTTTTTCAGACATGTTTCAATGATTTCTTATTTTTGCCAGAGGGGCGAATCTGTTGCGCTGCTGTTTTGTCGTTTGAGAAATTCAATTTTTTTTATTTGTCGCTCCGATGTTAAATCATTGATGTGTGAAATTTGTGAGCTCCACGCTAGGAGAAGAGCAGCATCAACAACTTGACTTTGATCGATTTTTAAGGTAGTTTCATAGCCCACTTGGATTTCCTTTCTGGCTTTTTGGTCCGTTTTAAATTTCTCGGCATCAAATAGGCTCTGCATTGGAATTCCCTCGGTCTGGGCTCCTTTCTCTGAAGGGAAGTCATTTCAGTACAGTCACTTGTGTTGTAAACAGCTCGTACATTTCCACCGGTACAAAAACCAAAAGCACGAAAAAATTCCGTGTAAAATTGGAAATTGTTTCTTGAACGGATCTCTTGTCTAAACGAACTGTGAGTGGTGTTTATTTCAATTGTTTTTCTTTGTGATGAACTCGAGCTGATTCCCCTTTCAGTTGAACCTCTGGAGATGTGTTGCCAAGGAGCCTGCGGATCGGTATCTTATGCCTTGGCCTACGGCCCCGTTGGACCCGCTCTGCCGGCCATGAATTATGCAAACTGCTGCTGCGGACCCAATCCGCCATGTGGACCCTGGACCTGTCCCCCAACAGGTGTTGCTGTGCCGGCGAGTGGGGCTGCTTTGGACCCTTCTACTGAACATTCCCCGGAATGGAGCAGAATCCAGAAAATCTAACTGAAGATCGTGGAATTTTTTTGTGCTTTTGGTTTCAGCCTTGTAACCCTGCAGAAGGGGTTATAGAATGGCAATAAATTATTGTATACATAAGTCATTGGGAAGGGTGTTTTAGATAAATACTATTATTTAGGTATCTTGCGTTTAAAAGCAGGGACCGCAAATAATAATTATGAGTTTAAAAAAATTGAAGCCCAAAACAGTCTCCAAAAAAATTGGAAAAAATTGTCATAAGTTAACTTTTCATTGCGAATTCAAAAACAAGATAAATGTTTTTTTCCAATTTTTATGAAAAAATTGATTTTTAATACTTAAAATTAATTTTAATAATAAAAAATTAGTAATAATTATTAAGAATCAATTTTTATATAAAAATTACTCAATAACTTTTATTTTCAATTTTTATTATATAAATTGAAAAATAAAAATTATTCGATAACTTTTATTTTAAAAATTGAAAATAAAGATTGAATCTATATATCTTTTGATCCGTAGATGCCAGATCCAATATATATATATATATATGATCTACACATCAATACCTTTCAGATGGTATATAATATATATAAGTATGTATATATATATATATATATGTTTATCCGCTTATGTGCCTGTGAAGTATTGGCAGTATTCATAAATAGCCCAACTATTGTTGCGGCGGCTGGGAAAGAGTTGTTCATTAAATTATTAATCGAGATTAAATTACACAAATTTTTAAGTTTTTAATATATAAATGGCTAATTATTTAATTTCAAAAACATTAACTTTTGGACTGAGTCTTCGGCAAGGTTGCATCTTAGATCAGTAATTACTAATTTAAGGGCCGAAAATGCCCTTTCAACCGATACCTGCGTAGCAGGCTATATATATACCATCTGAAAGGTATTGATGTGTAGATCATATATATATATATATATTGGATCTGGCATCTACGGATCAAAAGATATATAGATTCAATCTTTATTTTCAATTTTTAAAATAAAAGTTATCGAATAATTTTTATTTTTCAATTTATATAATAAAAATTGAAAATAAGAGTTATTGAGTAATTTTTATATAAAAATTGATTCTTAATAATTATTACTAATTTTTTATTATTAAAATTAATTTTAAGTATTAAAAATCAATTTTTTACGTAAAAATTAAGAAATAACTTTTATTTTGTAATTTTTTGCTCTTTTAATTATAACCGTTACAGTCCCTGTTTAAAAGTGCATGTTTTCAAAAATGATTTGGTTTGGAGGAGCCTAGTTCAAATTAAGAGTAAATATACTGTTCTATCCAGTGATTTAAAATATTTTGCTACAATTTTTTTTATTGCCATGGAAAATAATTTCGTTGCGCTAAAATTCCTAATATAGTTCATAGCTCTATAGCACTAATAAATCTGCAACAAAACCGTTCAACTTAGGGGTATTAATGTTTATTAAGAATGGTTTAGGTCGCAGTGATTCAAAATATTTTGCTACAGATTTTTTTTTGCTGTGAAAGATTAATATTATTCCGAATTCCTAATAATTCTAATATACAAGTTCATAGCTCTATAGCTATAATAAACCTGCAACAAAGCCGTTCAACTTAGGGGTATTAATGTTTATTAGTTCATCGTTCCAATTCAGCAAATAATAATTTGGTCACTATGAATTTAGTTGATACACTCCAAAGTTCTTGGTTCTACTGAGGCGGTTCCTTCTTCTCTTCACTTTTCTGACTGCAATTCTTTGTACAGAGCTGGGCTTCCAACGGGGAAAGGATGTGCGGTACGTAGCAGTTGTTGGAGTTCTTCTTGCGGCTCGTATCAAGGACATAACACTTATCGCCAGGACCGCAGGGTGTGGGTATAAAGTCTCGGCCAGTAAAACGCAGTGTGGACAGCGGTGGATTATTGCAGGCCAGATCGTATGAGGCACAAGCCCAACCACCGCACATGGTTAAAAGAGGGGAGCAGAAACTGAATGAGTAGGAAAACGTGGTGTATGAAAATAATTACAATTTAAAAGGGAAATAAAATTAATGCAACACGCAGGAAAAATGTAAAATAAAATAAGGAAATTATAAACACTTACCCGCTGGAGGTGTAAGGTGTTGGATGTTTATCTGACAAAAACTGGACATGAACTGAATGGTTTGTTTTCTAGCTGGCATTTCCTAGTCGACGCATCTGAGAAGGCCTACTTAAGCTATGAAAATGGAACCCGAAATTTCTCCACTCGATTCTGTGGCCACTCTAGAACCCAGTTTCCCTAGCATCCGCAGCAGCCTCCGCAGGCGGAGCAGTCGTTGCAGGGACCACAGGGCGTAGGTTGGAAACAGCGGCCAGTGAATCGCAGTGTAGAAAGCCGCGGATTGCAGCAGGCAAGGTTGTAAGAGGCACAGGCCCAGCCACCACACATCTTGTCTTGGCTAGGGTTTTTCCAACTTTTTACTATTTTTTGGGGAGTTAGTTATCGCCTGGAGCAGACACAAAATGGAGTGTTTGATGCCGAAGTGGAAAGCGAACTGAAGTGGCTCGGCCGAACGGGGACCAAAGGCGATTTCTCGCTTTGACAGCTGTTGACAAACTCATCGACGCCGCCCTTGGGGCTGCCTACACTTTGGAAATCTGGCCTAAAATAGAAGCCAGCCAAATCGAAACCGGAAAAGGGAGGCACCATGGAGCACAAGTAAGAATAACTGAACAAAATTTATCGAAAGAGTTTTTTTAAAACAATTGACATATATTCTTTTTCCATATCTTAGAAAAGCTTTAAAAAAATTTTTTTTATGTAAGTAAAATTGACTTTAAAAACAATTGAACTCAATTACAAGTCAATTTAACCAAGCGTTTTCTATTTCTGTTTTATTTCTAATTCCAATATTTCTACTACACATTTTCAACTGCCAAGTTTGTCATGCAAATATCTATCCGTCGGATAACGAACCGTGATGAAATACTCCATTCCGCCTCCAATTCAACCAGGCGGACACAATCAATTACATTAGCCCCCGACGGAACAGAGGGCTTGGGAAGAGTGTCTGACTAAGGGGATCCAATAGACAAGCCCACGCATGGTCAACTGTGCAAATAGCTCTCGGGTTCTGTACGGCAGAGTCAGGTGGTTCCAGTTGCCTGATCTTGGCCAAAATGTGTGGGTTTTGAGGGCGTCCACAGGACTATTATAATTTTACGACTACGCCTCTTGTTTCTATAGAGATTAAGTAGTAAGAAGTGGTAGTTCGATGGATAAAAAAACAAAACAAGAATTGATAAAGTAATTTAACTTTCTTATTAATCAGTATACCATTTTAGGTACTAATAATTTGGGACTCAGCTTTAAGAAGCCTGAAAGTCCATAATTTTTGATGTTCGAAAAATCTGTTTTAACTTTCTGAAGGCCAGTCTACTTGATTGTACCTGATTCTTTGCACCACTTGTCATTTTTCATGAAAAACCCAACAAAACTGCAAGAGGTTTTACTCGACAACAATTGCTAAATTTTTCCAAGTGGTTTTGCAACGATTGGCGGACAAAAAAGGTGCTAAATAGGCGCCTGGAGCTGTGAGCGGTCAGCCATTAGCGACCCGGAGTATTTAGCACTTTTTTTAGCGGCAAGAATTTAGCAACAGGTTGCGACGGAAAAGCGACTTTCGAGATGAGTTGTGCGGCGCCCCGATGTCGACCAAAATGTGGGCCATGTGGACCGTGTGGACCATGTGGACCCTGCGGCGGTTGTGGATCCGGCTGCTCGCCCAGCGGCCGAGGTGGCCGCTGTGGATCCTGCTGCGGATCAGGCGGGCCCTGCAGGGGATCCTGTGGCGGATCCTGCGGTGGATGCTGCAGTGGATGCTGCAGTGGATCCTGCGGCGGATGCTGCGGTCCGCCGCCCTGCGCGGTGGTCTCATACCGCCTGAACTGCGGCCCCGTGGGTCCCGTGCTGCCCGGCATGAAGTGCACCTTGAACTGCAACTGCAACTGCGGATGTTGCAATGGCAGCTGTGCCCCGCCCTTCTACTTTGTGCCGAACAATTGCCGAAATTGCTGGGAATGGGGCTGTTTTGGGCCCCTTTACTAGTGCCTCGTACTTTCCTTTTGTTGCACTTTTGATGGAACTTTTCATATATTTGAATGCAATAAATTCACGTGTCAGCCAGAGTTATTTGTTCATTTTGGTTTTTTGTTTGCTATTTTTGACAGGCTAACAAATGACCGAACTCCAGTTTCAGGGTTGCCACAGTTTGCGCCATGAAAATCATTTAACATTCGAACTTTTGTTAGCCAGGCCACCAGAAAGAAAGAAAAAAAACTAGAAATTGGTCACGGAAAAGTTTGCATTCGAGAGGCTAGCAAAACAATGGAAAAATGGGTAAAATCTGAAAGCTGCTTGTTTTGGTTTTGCATACGAAGCGAATTTGGGGGCGGTGGAAAAACTAGCCAGGAAAAACAAAATATGCGTGTGAAAACCTTCCAATCTATTTGGTTACACGACGTACTTATGTAGGTCATGGATCTGACAGTTTTTGTGCAGCGATTTGGTTGTGTTTTTTAGCCACGCCTGAATAGCGAAGACAGGTCAATTGAACGAACTTTCTGACAGCGCTTCGCGGGCAAGAGCCAACTAAATATTTTGGTTTCCACAGTTCGGAACAGATTGAGGCACTTCTGACCATAAATTAGTTTTTTAATTAAACCACCATTTTATTTGGTTCGCAAATGCTGAATAAGTATTGGTGTAGTTCAGGAATGATAATTGTTTAGGATATTAAACAAAAATCAACACATAAATATTGTCCAAAAAAAAAAGAGGATTATTTAGAGTCATTGTCATGCGCAATTTTATACTCTTGGCAAATAAAATATATAATTTCTGATAATTATCTATGCAATATTATATTTGTTTATTTGCTATTTACTCATTTTTTATTTAATTTATTATTTATATTTGCTCTTAAGCACACACACTTAAAAATTTAATATCCAAACCATGAATTTCATGTGCCTGCTTTATTTGGTTCAAAAGTTTTTCTGACAGTTTCTTTTCCTTTGAATAAGTCTGAACCAAATCTGTTTAGAATTTAGAAGATATTTTTTTAACGTTTATTGTCAGAATCTGTGAATTACTTACAATTTTCCTTGCCATCTATTTCTTCAGAAAAATCTTGCCCTAAGCAAATTAAGTAAATGGCGTAACTTTTATTGTCGGTATCCAGGAAAACACTTTGACGAGTCGCCAAAGGCATGTCCGATGAATAATGGTCTCGAAAACATTTAAAGTTCTTTGATTTTTGATTTTTCATCCACCTCGTAGTGATCCACAATTCGCCTTCTAATTTGGGCTTTAAATTTTTTTAAATATCTTATGTTTTGTTGCCTAAGATAATAATTTACGCTTACTGGCATAACAGTTTTATTAATAGGTGCACATCCTCTGTCCCTTAAAAATGGAAATTGAAATTGTAGAGTCGTTGAAGGGCAGCAAAAAATTAAAACTTCAATCGTGAAAATCCTTTATAAATGTTTTATATTACGATATATTGAACACTAGCTTGTGGAGTTACTTACAACACAAACAGCTTCATTTTTACTTTTTAAATAAAAAAACGCAGCATACTTATGTATGCAAGCTAATCGAATTAGCATTAATCAAGCGTTAAAATATTACATTAATACCCATTTTACAGTTTAGTCGCACTTTAATTTTGAAGAGTGGAAGAGTGTTTCTAAAGATTAAAACCCGTTTTTTTTTATTTCAAAAATAAAATCATTTTTAAGTCCTAAAACCCTTCTACGATATCTAAGATTACAAGATAACCATTTTTGGGAGAGCGAGAAACAATCTTATTATTTTGTATATTACTGAAACCTTTTGTTTTGTAACAATATGCCTTTGAGCGAGATGCCATCGCAAGACCGTAAGTTATATTTACAGAGTCCCAGCAAAATTGCGAAGTAAAATCACAGATATCATCATCACCCAGTCGGAACTCTCGACTGAAAGTAACTCACCTTTGGGTAAACGAAACTGGAGAGAACGGCAAATGTTATGGCTGCCGGCAGTTGTTGTCTTTGTGTGTTGTGATTGTTGTTCTGCCAGCAATAAATTAACTTATTTTAGCACGTTACACGACTCCTCACACACACTCCACTCGAATGCTTTTTCTTCCGCACACACACATGGCACACTAGATGGTCGACGGGCGGAGAAAGCTGGGTGGGTTTTTCTGTAAGAGCAATGTCCGGGGATTTCTGGAGCGACCAGAATATATATCCCGCACTGGAGGATAGGGCTTGACCTATGCTTCGGTTCCCTTCTCGAGTATTTTGTGGATTTTGCACACTTCTCACATATTTTTCATAATTTTCGCGAGCAAATCGCGTTGGGCCCAAAAACGTGTGTACGAAATAAAAGTTTGGCGAAACGAAAAGTTTGTCCTGTTTGCAGTGTTTGTTTTTTGTGTTTGTTTTGGCAGCACTCAAATCTCTGGTGAAATATTAATTTTCACAAATTCTGACACTTTTTTAGCCGGCGCATTTGTTTGTCCACCGAGTTTGCTGTTTCGATTGCGATTTTCGTTTTTGTTTTTCTCGTTGAGCTGTTGTTTATTCTTTGTTGTGATGGGATATTATTTAAATTTATTGGTTCGTTGGCCCTCGTCTTCGGCGATGTTGTTGTGGTTGTACTCGATGGGCGGTGGCAACAGCACAGCGAACCAAACGATTTGACATTATCAACGTAACTGAAGCATCAGCGGCAGGAAGCTGTCGGCCCTCGCCGGAATTCCAACAACAGCAGCTGCTGCTGAAGGACCCGATGCCGATGCTGTTAACCAGAGGCTGCAATCGAAGGATTTCGGCTGTAATCGTGTCCTGCCAGCGAGAGAGAAGGATAACCAGCTGCGGCACTCGGCACTTGACGAAACCCGAGCCGAAGTCCTTGTTCTGGCCAGGGAAATTCGAGAGAGCCCCGGATGAAGGCAGCAGAGAGCGTTCGAGGTGATGGAAAAGCTTTCCATTTCGAAAAGGGGATTGTTTTGGTGTTACAGAATTACAGAAGGATTTTTTGCTTCTAACAGGAAAATGTAAAATACAACCAGCCAATGTAACTGTAAACCATATGAAATGTTATAAACTGTGTTTCTGGAGACCTGCAAAGTTATAACTACATACTTTATTTGTTTACTTTTAGCTCTTCTTGCAGTTCACGTTTTAAAAGAGCTCTTACTAAAATTATAAAATCATTGAGCGAGATTGGTTTAATCTACAGATTTTATGACTTCACTAAGACTTTAAGTTTTAGATTAATCTTACGCATACTTTGTTGGAAACCTCTTACAGGAAATGGATAAACTAAAGAGTGAACCTTGGGAGACAGCGAGTAAAGTGGTCAACATCAAACGGAACTAATGCACAACATGCAAAATGGAAACCATATTGACAAGATGCAGTTTCCATGGAGAAAAGTGGAGAGCGGGGAGTAAAATGGAGCAGCAGCGGCTGAAACATCCAGCAATAAACAAGAAAATACCAAATGCATACGAGGCAGCAAACATGACAAGCAGCAGTGGCAGCAAACAAAACAGAAAGGATACATGTGAACATGAATATATATAACCATATCTATATATATATATATATATGGATATGTATAGTGTGGGAAGGATGCCATGGCTAGACAATAACTGTAAAATGTAAATATTAATATTGTCATAATAGACAAGACAAGTTGAATGGCAGTGCTGTGGATGTCCTGGGGAAAGGATAACGATGACGACCACGACGATGATGATTGCCCCTATGGATGTGATCCTGACGAATAACCGCAAAAGTGCCGTTAAGCTGCGCCCTACTGAACGTGAACGTGCATGAAGCGACACGAAACGAAACGAACGAAACGAAACGAAACAGAAAACAGAATGTCAGCTCATTTCCGGTTGCTTAATTTGAAATCGTTGTGCCAAAAATTACAAATGAGCTGACAATGGCGCACCGAAGAAACCAAACAAGCGAAAAATAACAGGACACCGAATGGCTAACAGACAGAGAAGGGGGCGGGGCAGGGCCGGGGGCGGGGGGCACTGGCGACAATAAGCACAAAATAGCAGCGTCTAATACGCAAAATAAACGAGAGTTGGCCACAGCATGACAGCCAGGATAACACTGGCCAGCTGGGCGCAGTCCCTTACCAGGACCTCCTCCCCTGGAATACTTCCCTACACATCGCCCTCCACCTCCCCCTCCCCCTTCCGCTCCCTCGCCCACTCTCGTGTTTTACAATTTAACGCACATCCTAACAAGGCAACGCCCCATAGTTTAATTTTTGTCTCTCCGCCTCGATGTGTGCATGAATCCTTTACACTTTGAAATCAAATAGGAGTTCTTGGGTGCAACATTATTCTTAATTCAAACAAAAAATCGGTTTAACTTTACATTTTATTTTATTGAAATGTATGTCATTGCTAATATCAAAATAAATATTTTAAAAATAAAAAACATTAATGTATACACGCAAATAAATGTTTGAAATCTTTTGGCCTAACTTTAAACAGCAATGAAAATCAATCTCAAAAGAGTGATACTAATTGCTTTCCAACTACATTAAATTTTTGTCAGTGCACACGTCTTCTCTGTCTTTCATCCATCTCTCTTTCTCTTCCGCTGAGCTTGCTGCACTCTAATCTAATGATGACAAGGGTCGGGAGGGGAAAGACCCTCACACGACCACGGCTTTGAGTGTCGCTCTTTTATTGCGTATACGCCATGTGCAACTCGCCCTCGACACACACACAAACACACGCACACACTCTATCACAGAGATGGGAGCCACAATGTGTCGAAAATTTGAAGCGTCCATCGTCATTCACCTTTCCGTTGAGTGCAAGCGATAAAATGTACGGCAAGCACACTATCTGCAACCATTCAACTCTCCCCCGAATTTTCTTCTTTATTTTTTACGCTTCAAGGATTCGTCCAGCTGCTGACGGCCGACTGCTCTCAGCCAAGGAGGTGCCGCTGCCAAATGGTCAAGTGGACGACTTAGCTTGGCTGAAAGTAAAGTGCAAAAGGTGAACTCAAATCGGGCTAAAGAAATAGGTATGAACAAAAAACTAAGAATACTTGTATCTATTGCATTTTCAAAAAGTGTTCTGTTAGTTAAAGTCAATCCAAGTCCTCTCACTTAAATACGAGTTCAAGACCAGAAGAAGTTATGATTATTTGTCACTTTGATTTCCAAGCATCTCGTTTCCTGCCTCAAATAAATCCCAATTTTCCCAGCCGCCCCGCTTAACACCTTGCGTGCGATGTTCCAAAAACTTAATTAACGTTCATCAACTAATTGACTAATTTATGCAAGTCAAATAAATGTCATGTCAACATATAATTAGTTATGGCGCCTGAAGTTGCGCTAAGCAAATGCGGATGTGTATGGGAGTGTGGAGAATTTGCTAATTTATGCATGATTTAAATTCGCGATGGTAAAGAGCGTCTTTTTCGCAGCTAATTAAATTTTTGTAATGGAAAAACATAGCCAAGATGGGAAGTGGCGTGCCAAGGAAAAACGAAGCCACTTCTTGGGGACAAAGTGTCGGCTGTTTTCCCAACTTGGCCATACTTGCCATGCACTTTCGAGATCATCCTGCAAGTCTCTGAGGATGTCCTCAGCCCTGTCAGCCGCTCCTTCTGTTGGCCGGCATAATTTTGTTATTGTTTCTGCATTGCATTACAAGCAACTGCGGAGCAACTCTTGCTGCTGCCCCTTAATCTATTGGATTAGTGAAAATTCAATTAGGCCAGGCCAAGGAGCCTCCTTGTGCTGCGCAGGCTTCAATGAAATTAAACTGCTAGAGCTCCAACTTAAGTTTGACATTTCGATTCGTAAATATTCCATGTTCTATTGAGAGCAATTACTTTTATACGATTCGGCCGCGCTGCTCGTCAAATATTTGTTAAATGGGCTAAACAAAATATCGCCCACTAAATCCACGTCGGAATCCAACAGAAAAACAATAAATAAACATATAGAAAATACCCAAATCATTCCATCTATGGGGGGAAAAAATGGAGCAGAGCTTCATAAAAAATGGTTGCAAATTTCAAACCAAGTGCAAACATTGTTGTAACGCAAATATTTACAACACTTTAAACTATATGGCAGCTTCTGAAGTAGCAAAAAACCACCGCAACAAGGGTAGCAAAAACAAATGTCTATCAGTAAATGATTGAAAAAAATTTTATTCAGGCTCCCCACACAAGAGGAGACCGAATAAACAATCGCAAATGGGAATGAAACGTTTGAATCCCCTTTTTTAAACATGGAATTGTGATATATCAAAATGAATACACAAAGAAGGTAATTAATGTTTATTTATAATGCAATAATGAATTTGTCACTCTTCACAAACGATCAAAGAATAATTATTTTTTATGCCACAAACTGGTTTTGATAGGCCACTGCCCTTTTTCGTTTAGAAGGGTATTAAAATCTATTGTAAAAGGGTCGTGTATAAACAAGTTTTTTGCACAAAAAAGTTTTCGATGTGCACACATTGTCAGCTGACACAAATTTTTAATAGGACGCTTAACGATAAACTGAATTTGTTTTAAGAAAATTACTTTCAATTAAATGATCCAAAATTGGACAAAATATTTGAAGAAAAATAATCTTCGTCTGGATTTTAGAAATCATAGCTAATTTTTATTCTTCTTTTTATACTTGTAAGCCCTATCAACTTTCTTTTTTATGTATCTAAGATTTCACTAAGCTACACAACACCAACAGTTATTTACTTGTGCTTTGGCCTTTTCGTGGTTTCTGGGTTTTTCTCGTTCGCGGGTCCTTTTGTCCTTTGGACAAAATAAGTCATAAATATATTTCGCTGATTTCATATTTTTCCACAAGGTTGCGAAAATAACTTGCATAATGTTCCATTCGGAGGAGGAAGGATGAACAAAACACAAAACGGACTTAACCGAGGCACAAAGGGAATCCCCACAGAAGGGGGAACCCCACGAAGGGCCAAACGAATAATTCACAAAGAATGAAACAGCAAAGAAAGGCTTACTATTCGCTGGGATATTTAAGTAGATTTGCCTGTTGTCTTTCAACTGTTTCCCATTTCCCATTTTCCATTTCCATGGCCAGACTTACTTTCATATTTCACCATTCTTTCTTTGCTCTTTCCCTTGGCTCTATACCTTCATCTCTTTTTTCGGTTCGCATGTTTTCGCGCTTCCTCCTTTTTATTTCCACGCTTTTGTACTTATAATTTCTCACGTTTTCCTGCAAATGCAGCACAAAAATTTCTCGTAGTAACTTTTAATTTCATGCCATTTAATTCGTTGAAAGCGGAACGTGAAAAAGGAGCAAAAAATCGGCAGCTGAAGAAAAGAGAATACTGCAATTATCAGTGGCGGATCCACGGGGGGGAAATTAGGGAAATTTCCCCCCTTGGAACCACAGAACCTGAAAATTTTACTTGTTTGCTATGGTTGACTTTTCAAATATAACCACTTTGTTTACCAAAAAATTGGGATGGATAATTTTTGTTTTATAATTTGTACTGTATTTCTCTCGCAATAATAAGTTTGAACCCCAAATCGAAGAATAAGTTCAATTTCCCCCCCCAAGAATCGTCTCTGGATCCGCCACTGCAATTATGCCCGGGTTTTGGATGTGTATGTGTGTGTGTGTAGGGCGTAAAGGAATTTGCCACAGGACAC